TTGTGTTTTAGTGGACTGGTATTTTGTAAAATACAATCTCAGTTCAATTAGTATACATAATATATGTATAAAGATTATTACTATTTAGAAATAATTTCTTATGTTTCTTAAAACATGGAACAGTAAATAAAAAAGTAAAACAAACAATTATCTCTTATAGTTACGACCTTTGTACTCGGTTGCTGCTTGATGTAGGTTGCTAGGCCTTTTAAAATTTCGCATGTGGATAATATAAAATGATGTATTTTAGGTTTTATATTTACAACTGAATAACCAAAAAATCATAAATTACTATATCAATAGCATAGAATTCCACTATAATTTATAAAGCTTAGCAACTAAGCTGTATTTGGGTAAAAAAAAATGCAATTTCAAGTAGACTAAAGACACAACCTACCTCCTTGAAATTTTGGTTTGAAAGAATGAGATGGTATTCTAACACATGAAAATGGCTGAGAAAGCCACTAGGGGTACATTCTGCGCTTTTGATTGGTTATTCACATGTCATACATTGAAGTAAGTGTATACAAGGGACTGTTTCCAAAAATGGAAAGAGGTGAGCAGAGCCACTGTGTTTGATTCAATACATGAGTGATATCTCAGGAAATAGAAAAGATATGAGGTTCTTATTTTATATTCTAGCTTGTAAATATCAGTAATTTGGGTTCCTAATTCATACAAAACTATAGACTTAGTATTTTTACATCACAAACATCTAATTTGAACCAATACTGCATTCAACATACCACGTGACACACAACAATGTTTAACTGTATTTTTTTAATATTTAGTTTTAAATTAAGAGATTAAACGATGTATAATACTAAAATTTGAATTATAATCTACAGTATAATACCAAATGTATTGACATAAACTCATGATATAGTAGTTCAATAACTTTTGAATGTGAGTCAACAAATGTGATGACATGGAGAGGGTTAAGCATTTAACCACAACTGTTTATAGATGTTCGTCTGACTTTATTATTGGTTATTTAAGAAACATTAAAATTGGATAATGGTGAAACAAATTATTTGATTTTTAGGGATTGTCTTTTAATTTTACATAACACAAGATAAATACACTACTTGGTTATACTAAAATTGTAGTTGAAAATACCCATTTCTTTTCTTCTGAGACTAGAAGTCTTTGCAATACGTTTCTTAAATTAAAAGCTTTGGTAGCAGTGTCATTGCAAATTTGATTCAAGTTGTATTAAATTCATGATAAAATTAAGTTTACAAAGATGTTTTGTTTAAAATGTTAAGGTCTTTATTATGGACTTTGGTAAAAAAGAGGATAAGAAGTAATTTTATTTCTGAGACAAGAGCTAAAAGCTTTTGTAAAAAGTTGTATCACAAAGGAAGGAGAAAACTGTTGAATTTATTTCCTTGAATTGACATTTTCTGAAACAAAAGGGAAAAGATGATGTTTATCTTTTATAGACATCTCATCAGGTTGTTGACACTGATAGGAGTATGATATGGCAAATTAGTTATGCTATCAGTAGAAAAAAAAGTCTTTAATTTGAGAGTAATTGGTTGGACCAAGCTGTTTTCTTAACATGAGGCAGAATAATATCTTGACACCAAGAGGAAAGTGCAAGGTCATCATCAGAGCTCCTGCATCACTATAGCCTCCGAAATTCCTAAAGGCAGGATCAAGACAATATAAGTATAGTGCAGCAAAAAATAGAGAGAGCAAAAAAAAAAGCAAAAGACAATCAGGGGAAAAGAGAAAGCAATCAGGGAAGGGGAAAGAGCAATCAGAGGAAATGATAGAGCAATCAGAGGAAGCCCAGAAATGGTAAAAAACATAACTGATAAAATGTTTATTCCTAGTATATCTGGAGAAGCAGTGTTTTTTCACATCCTTCTTAGTATGTCTATTTAAAATTCAAAATCAGAGACATGTCCTTTAAGTGAACTGCATTTTTTATGTAAGAAATAAGTTCATAACAGTACTATATACATGTAATTATTGTGCGTGTAGAAGGTTGCAGGGTTTATGTAGTATGGATAGATCTACTGGGAATGATGGGTTAAAAGTAGTGTGATTGGTGTTAATGTGATTATTGATAGTGTTAAATTGTTGGCTATTGAAAATAGAGTGGTTTGGTGTGGTGAAAGTGTTGGTGTAGAAGTGTGCGAACAGGTTGGCTTTTTCGTCATTGTGTGCTTTGGAATTATTTTAAGTTATATGAGCATTTATATTGTTTGTAGTGTTGTTGCAGACCTTTTTAAACTTAAGTGCCAAGTTGGGTTTCGATTTGTCTATGGATATACAGAATGTGTCCCAGTTGTGTTGCTGCTGGATTTGAATTAGCCTTTTTATATGATTATTCATGTTATTTATACGGTTTTAAGTAAAATGTCATGGGTTCTGAATAATTGGCAGTGCAGCCTTCTTCTTTTGTGGATCAAATGGCTTATTTTGGTGTGAGTTTCTATGAATTTAAGTTAGGAGTGATAGTTTTGCTGTGAACTGTGCTGTTGATTGCATTTAAGATAGTGTTGGTGAGTAGGGAGACATGATTGCCTATTTCTTGGGTGTTAGAGACTGATGTTATAATCTTTGGTGGGGCATCTTCAATTTTACAGTTAAGGATTGAGAAATCTTGTATTATTTCAGTAGGGTTGGAGAAGTGGTGGGAATTGTAGATCATGAAAAAAATGGGATAATGGTCACCGTGGACATTGTTGTGTACCTAAAAGTTACTTGCATGAGGGATGATAGCCGGGGATACTACTGCTAAATCTGATATATTTTGTCTCCCGTTCGGGTTGGTGTGTGTCATGCTATTATTATTAATGACTAAGTAACTGTTGTCTGTTAATAGGTGATGCAGTGCTCTTCCATTTCTGTTGGTGGATATGCAATTGAAATCAGTGTGTTTTGAATTAAGGTCATCAGTTATTATTAAGTTTTGGGTAATTATTAATGATTGACTGTATAAAAATGTTATTAAGTAAAGAATTTGGAGAACATAAACAGCAAGTATGGTAGTTCGATTGGGTAAGTGTAGTTGACAGAAAATATATTTGTTGTCACAAGAGATGGGATGTTGTGGGAATGTCATCTTTAAGTCTTTTTTGTATAGTAAGGCTAAGCCTCGTTTTCCTATTAATTTAGGTGTGTGTCGAAAGTTGTATTATTTAATAATGATAATGTCTGCTTGGATCTTATTGGTTAACTGAAGTTAATTCATACTTCTGTGGTATAGACCTCCTTGTATGTTTACATTTAAGAAACAAACCATTACACAAAGGAAACTTACCCATACAGATGGCATTTGTAGGTGTTCTTCTCAAGAAATGTGGCATGAGGCATGTCTGGTCCAAAGTAGTATTTAGAGATGTGGCAGATTGTTGCTACAAGCTGTGGCATATTTTCAGATGGTGTATCATGAGTTGTAGTGACACGTTTAGATCACATCAATGATCCTTGTGTAGATGTTGCTGGCTATGGCATGACTGATGTAGGCTGGAGGTGTTATAGCTCTGACACATTCGGTGTAGGTGGCAGGTCATTGCACCATAACAGTGTTTGTAATTGTTGTTGTCTGTGTGTTTTAAACTGGTGGTGTGGGTAACATTGGTAGAGTCTTCTTGCCTGCTGATTTGCCTAGTCTCTTGCTGTTCTACCTATGGGAGAGATAGAATAAAAATGTTGTCATCTGGTATTCCTAAGTGGTCATCCTCCCAAGTACTAACCAGGCCCAATGTTGCTTAGCTTCAGGGATCAGACAAGAACCGACACTTTCAGTGTGGCGTGAACTACATTTGTGATGCATATTTATCCCTTATAGAGGTCCACAATGTTCCACCCTACTCGATATTATGATGCAATGATACTTAACTTAAACAGAAGTAAAACTCAGAAGGTTCTAGTAATATGATGCAATAATATAACAATCACTAATTCAAAACTATAGGACTACACAACATATGACTCATAAACAAACTATTGCTTCTAAAAATAACTAAATTTAACAATTATGCTATATAAACTATCTGAATCATAACTTAAACTGAAATAGTTGTATATATATAACACTGAAAGATTAAATTTTATAGACAGTCATTTGCAAGGTTGTATAAGGTGTGAATCATGTACTTCATATCATCCTCAATTTGATGGTTTGTCTGAACAGTTTGTATAGATTGCCAAGTGTATGCTCATACAATTTATAAATTCTGGCCAATTCAACTGGGATGAACCCCTGCTTTGCATGATGGTGGCATACATAGGAATACAGTAACAGTCAACTATTTTTTGCTAAATGTATTGTTTACATTCCAAGAACAGCTCCCTGTTGATGTAATGTATAGTCAATCTCCCAGTGCAGATCTTTTACAGTGTACACAAGTTTATGTGGAGTGGTTAATGTTTTTGTTAGATGATGCATATGAATTCATGTCAGCAGACAAAATAGTCATATGTCAGAAGAAATTGTATGAGAAGATAGAAAAGGAACAAAATTCGGCCCTGAAGACTGGTATGGCTTTGGTATGTGCCTGCAGCATGGAAGCAACTTGATTCTGAATGGACTGGTCTTTCCCCCATACTTAGAGAGTTCTGCCATTCAAAGTACATGTGGCAGTGGTCAAGTAGGATGTGAAAACCTGTTAAACACCTTGGCAAGCAAAATTATTTATGCCATCCATGAGATACTGATTGGGTGAGAAATCAGAGGCTGGGGAGATTTGTGAGTCAGAGGACAGATGATTAATGAAATAGATCAGCTGTTAAGGTGATCAACCATAGCATCATTATTGACCCTAGAAATTTCTATGGCAAGGACTGAAACCAATTGGCAATTTAGGATTAGATTTGGATGTTATGCTTCTTACTTCCCAAGTTGTCCATTTTGCTTTTTATGGTAAAATATCTACAGGATGTTTAAAGTCAGCCATTAGATCATTGTAGGTACAATATTGGATACAGAAAGTAGAACATTACCAACTACGATGGCTGGTTATGATTTCGAGGATATCTGACGCATTTGTAAACGAAAAGGATTTTCAATCATTGCTTTCTTAATGATTTTAAGGTAATTTTCTAATGCTTCTTGCATGCATTTCTATGTAACACTATTTTGTATCTACACAAAAGGCTATTCCTTCTGATATGATTGGTATTTACATGCCTATGAAGTGCATGGTAAAGGGTCTGTTCAAAAAGAGAATGAGAAATAACTCAGTGTGCAATAAGTAACAGTGGTTAATTCCTGTTTTATTGAATTTTTCCATGTCAATACTTTTAAGTAATAGTAGGGTTTTGGACTCAAAAATAACAATAATATATTAGTGGAGAGAGTGGCTACAAATCTTGGTTGTAAGGTAGTATGGTAAACATACTCTGATGTTTTCTACTGTACTTGTCCTATGTCATTCTGTGTTTATTAGTATATAGTAGGCAGTACAAATAGTAATCAGGTTACATTAATCAGTGTAAAGATTTTAGTTCTGCTGAACATTCAGAGTCAGACTAAGATACCGACAGGCCCATAGGCAATTTCAGTTTTGTGGGTCCCTCTTTCTCCACAACCCCACATACATTTTTGGTATTCATATTTTACCCATAAAAATAATCATTTACTAAACAGAACGATTTTAAGATAGTACAGTATCAGACTTACCAAAACAGCTGAGAAGACTATGACAAAATTTGGTTAATTTAGTGGGATAGAGAGAGATGTCATGTAGTATATAAAATTTAAATTAAAAATAAGCAGCCACTGTGAGCCCCTTGATATTGTAGTTAAAGACAGTACATAATTGTATTTAAAAAAGCAGAACCATTGTGGATCCCTTTACATTGCTTATAGGTAACTGGATGTTGCCTGTAACAAAGTTAAGTTTTTAGTAGAGAACAGCAAAACTACAGAGGCTGGCAGTCACCTTAATGATGGCCATTGTATACCATTGAATATGCTGTGTTGTTAGTCCTTATACGTTGAACAAGAAGTGTAAGTATTGATTTAAAATGCAATGTTGTTTTATGTGCAAATATGGCAACATACATGTATTCTACAACATGTATGGACATTTTCATGCATGTAAATTACTATGTGAGGGAATAAATATGGAAGAAAGCATAGCAATCAGCCAATGAATAACTTATCCAGAATGATGAGTAGTGTATATCCAAGGTAAAACCCTGATGCTCGATTAGACAAGGACATGGTGTTACAGAGTATATTTTAATTTAGATCTGAAATATGTTTGTGTGATAATTTCACTGAGAATATACAAGTTGTTTTCTGACCTACACCATATCAATGAAAATAGAATATTGTACAGATGCTTTCATTAAAATCAGTGAAGGAATGTGTTTAATTTTACATAACTGAAAAGTCTGTAGGATCAGGACAGATTATTAGCTTATGCAAGAAGTTGCAGCCATTGTTCTCATTGGACTAGTTTAAGTATTTATAGTGTTAATATATATATGCATGTGGACTTTCACTGAATATTTTATCAATTTTTATTTTCCATAGAGGTCATAATGTTCACACTAGTGTGAACTGTCATTTATTATAACTTGAGGTGAATATGGTAGCTGTGTATGGTATCATTTAGCTTTTCTTCAGAGTATGCTAAACTTGGGATGGAGGAAGGTTAGTTTGGAAGCCTAAACTTGTATTACTCATCTCGAAGGATCAGGAGTAGTGACTAGATCCCATTAAACACATGAATGACCAGGTTTCAGTTAAGGTTCCTGGACTATGAGCTTCACACCATTTCTTCCCCATTGCAATTCGTGCTCTGGTGCAGTGAGCACACTATAGTGAGATAACTCATGTGATGTGGCCACCAACTTACCATTTAGTAAGTAACAACCCAGTAGGAATCTTGGTGATAGTAGTTATGTGTTAACCCTTGAAAAAGCTTGAAGTGAACTGGCATATTCACTAGTCCTAATAAGCCATTCCTATCAGAGTGGGGTATGTACAATGCCACTACCTCAAGATGGGGCACTTAATATATTTTACTGCTCACATCTTCTTTCAGGATTTTTTTGGGAAAAATTCAATATGTCCAATCAGGTTACCTTCAACTTCATGTTGTTGACTGAATCTTTGCTAAGTTATAACAACATTTTCAAAAATGATTTTTGCTATAAAGGTTTAAGTGCTTCATCCTGGCTATCCTTTTTCCAACTAGAAAACCAATATCTATGCCTAACCACTCATTGAGATAAAAAAGGATTTTCTGTTGAATGTTGGTGAGCTCAATGATTTTGTCAGCCTCCCTTTCACACCAGTTATCAGTAGCCTAAACCTATAAACCACAAACAGATAAAACACTGACTCTTATACCATCCAAATATCAGCTGTCTTTATAGTACAAGGGTACACAATGTATTTTCCATCACTATATATAAAGCAAGTTTTTAAAAATTACATTTTTTTCATAGTTTTCAACTTGAGTGCAGCAAAACTTTCCTAGTGATGAGTATCAAGGCTTAATTACATATCTGATTAAAACTATCCCAGTGGTGAGTATCAAGGCTTAATTACATATCTGGTTAAAACTTTCCCAGCGGTGAGTATCAAGGCTTAATTACATATCTGGTTAAAACTTTCCCAGTGGTGAGTATCAAGGCTTAATTACATATCTGGTTAAAACTTTCCCAGTGGTGAGTATCAAGGCTTAATTACATATCTGGTTAAAACTTTCCCAGTGGTGAGTATCAAGGCTTAATTACATATCTGGTTAAAACTTTCCCAGTGGTGAGTATCAAGGCTTAATTACATATCTGGTTAAAACTTTCCCAGTGGTGAGTATCAAGGTTTAATTACATATCTGGTTTTCTTACAGAAACAACTAAAGTGAGCTAATCTATCCTTGTTAGTAAATCGCATAATGACTGTGGGCAGTCACACACTAAGTCAAGTGCAGTAACTAGTGTACAATATAGGATTGGGTAAGATAAAAAATTGAGACTAATTGTCATATTTAAATATATGTTCATACTAGACAGCTCATATTTTGTCAAATTCAGTTTTTATTTTGCTTGTACCAGGAAATGTTATAGCTCTTACATTGTGATTTCTAAGGTCATCTTTACTTTCCATGACTGTTTAGCAGAGACCCTTTGAGTAAAACTCTAGCTTAGTGTTAAACATTCACCTTCCATTGGCAGGGTGTTAGTTTACACATTTGGTTTTTGCCACTAAGGCAACAGGCTCTTGCTCGTTTTTGAGAGAACATGAGCCTAGGATTTCAGTAATGTAGAAAGTAAGTATTTGGATTTAACATGAGGCTGTTTTCGTTTATCATTTTATGTTCTACTTTAACTTACAAAGAGGGAAAACATGTATTAGCAAGAGCAGTTTATTTTATTAAAGCCTACATTAGATATTGCTAGTTCTACACTTTTCTATTTTGAAGTACACTTTATTTTTTTACCATTTTGTTTAT